CTTACGGTACTTTACTTTCACCGTTCTCTGGCATTCTCTTTCTTTTTTTTCCACGTTTTTTCTTCTCTTCTTCTTCTTCTGGTATTAACATCTTTGTTGGAATAGAGTTCTTTCTTAATCGTTTCATTTCTTTGGCTGGTACATTCTTCAATCTAGGTTGTGTCCACTCCATTATGAAGCAATCAGCATCGAAATGATTACTACATATCATTGCTATAATTAGATTAAAATATATGTATTTTAATATGTATAGTTTATATATATATATATATATATATATATATATATATATGTATTTTATATGTATGTAAATTAAATTAATTATATAAACTTACCCGTATCAACTTTGATATCTGTTTCCTTCCTTTTACAGGCATCAAGCCATTGCTGACGAATAACGTCTTCCTTTGGAAATCCGAAAAATTTCAAATTTTTCGTTTTGTCAGACGTGCGACTAGTACAGTGTTTTATACAACACGTTGGCATCGTTTTTTCAAATAAGGCTTGATATAACACGATGCTAATATAACCTAATCTGTGACTGTGACAGGCACGTAATTCTGAATCCAGTCTGGCACAATTGCTACGAACCGACCAAGCGGTATCGCGGCGATACAACGATCACGGCGGAGGTTTGCTAAATCCGACGCAGTTACTGGGGCAAACACCCAGAAAAAACACAATCTTCGAGTCCGATCGATGGTCCTCTAATCAGGAACTCCCGAATAAACGCATTCACTCCGGATTTAATATGGACTCCGAAAGCGAGTACAAACGTCTTAAGTGCGACGACTCGTCTTTTGAGCGTATAAATCTCGAAGATACTTTATTAACGAAGCAACAGCGGCTATCAGATGTTCTAGACTTTACCCGACATTGATGGCAATATTCGCGGTGATGGCATGTATACAAGAAGCCATGTTGCTTTTTAGCATTTTTGGTCAAATTCTGATTGGTCAAAGAGCAGACGCTACTTTGAACCACTGCGCATCCTCGAGAATGGTACACCTTATATCCTTACACCATGGGCTTATCCTTCGTTCTGCACCATTCGCAGGCCCTCGCATCATCTTTCCCTCCATTCCTCTTTTTCCAAACCTACCTATGGTACAATAACGCCGCTAGATTCAACGAATACATTTTAATTTTCTA